CCAAGCATCAAGAACAGAAAAATGAAATGCTTTATAAATAAGAGACTGGTCAAATACACCTCTATCTACCATATATAAACAATTAAGTTAACAATCAGCTAAAAAACACTAGCTGGACCAGGATAAGCCGTCATTTAATTTCAACTTGGTTACTATGTAAAAACAACTGTATTATTGCTGTGCTACTGTATTATTGTTGTACTGTTGTCTTATTGCTGTATTGTATTATTGCTGTACAACATTTACAATGTGCATAACCTTGCTAAACTGTTTAACCAACACACAGGTAAAAATCAATAAACAAATGGCAGCAAACAACATGAAGGCAAGAAAAAAACAAATTGGTAAAAAAATTAAGTTACACAGTAACTACAAATTGGGTAAACAAATTCCCTCTTAGTACCAGTCATAATTTGGGTTACTGACACTGCAGCCTAACTGAGGCACATGTTATTCAAAACAATCTTGTTCAGTGTCTGGATACCAATACTAAATCCTGACACAGCACTATTTAATAAATTGGTTACTGTCCAGTCAGTAGATTATCTGGAAGACAGCATCCATAAGAAACCACTGGATCTATGTCCACTACTGGTGTATCACAAAGCCATGCAACCAATGGAACAAAGAAGCTAGCCACTTCTATTTCCTGCCCAGTAAAGCTAACCAGAGGGTGACAACCAGCAATAGAGTAACTTATAACATGAATGGACAGTACTGTGTAGTAACTAATTACAATATATTTATATATAAAGGCCTCAGTGATAGTGTCACTACTCCAAATTTCTGTTTTACTTCTCATATACATAGCACTGTGGAACACACTATCACAATCCCTATCCCAGTATTTCAAAACACTCAGCCTACTACTAATGATGAGACAAGTGATAACTGGAATTGCCCTAATGGGAGTGTGTTTCTATCTGTGTCACCAAAGTAAAAGGGCCAGAGTACAACACCAGACTGGAAAAACATGGTTATGCTTGGATATAAGGTGGTATCATATGTACACATACGTACTATACATATATGCCCATACACACTACAAATATATATGCCATATCCATATAATTCATATATATTAATTATTTGGAAGTGCCTCTAAGGCTCAATCATAATACTACATTCCTTAGTCATGGTCCTGGGCCTAACATTCCCAGGCCCACCATAAGGGACTAAAAGAATAATTAAATAATAAAATCTGCCTATCAGTCGTACGTGGGAATGTGCAGACTAAAAAGACAGATGGGGCATGAGTGTATGGATGGTAAAATAAGATAACCACATAATAGTGTTTAGCCGACTGGGTTATCTTTAGACCATGCATTATGCTTTTCCGGGACAATTGGTAAACATCCTCCCCTTAAAAAGACAAAAAGTGGGGGAATGTAGTAAGAGGAGGCCTTAGACATAAACCCTTGTATCAGAGGCCTGGTATGAGGCCTAAGGCCTGAACTAAAGTAATGGTCAAGACTTTGCTAACATAAAGCAAAGTTAAGCTGTGAGCCAGAGGCAGGCCCTGCTCACAGAAGCTGGCAAGGAAAGGGCTGAGGCTGCAAAAAGAGACATACCTAAAAGGTACTGGACACTAGATATCAGAACATTCGGATACTTGCACATTCCACACAGATAACAAGGAACAGGTTGACCCATCCCAATGACAGAGCCAAAAGGGGAATATGATGGATAGAGTTGTTTTGTTCAAACCAACATGTACAAGGTGAAAGGTGGCACCTTACTACGTAAAGGGGTTGTACCTCAATATGTCAGAAGTGATGTGTAATCTGTTTGTACCTGTGTATAAGAATGCATCCCTGAGTGGATAGCTTTGTCCAGCGTAGGGGGAAGTGGAAAGTCCCGCCACTGACTGAGCTGAGTCCATTGTCAAGGGAGCACATATGTACTGGCTAGCCGCACCTTAGCAGCACCTTGGACTTCGTTTGCCGGGGAGTCGGAGACTGTGTTTCTCTTCGACAATAAACCTGGCCAATGTGCCTTTGTACCTTACTAGAGTTTGTGGTCATTGGGGGTTCTCTCGGGATCTGCTGTGTCAGCTATCTGTGCAGAGCTGGGGCAGCACACAAAGGGAACACACGCACGCAGTCAATTGATATCAACATTGAACAGAGCAGAGCACCATACCGGTAGCATCTGACAACAATATATGGCTCAGATTCTGAATTTTTTTTGAGAGAGATTTAAAATTTTAAACTATTTTGAATTGGTGAGTAGCTGTACATAAAATGTGTGGCTGTCTGTCATATTCAACGATGACATCATGACAACTCATGTTCTCTTGTGGCTGCATAGTCCTATCTGTGAGGAGCGAGGTTGGGAACAAATGTCACATAGGAATGTGTAGATTCCCGCTGAAGACTTGGCATGATGTGTGGCCATTTTTTCAATGAGTTTTTTGTATCTGTCTTTCTCAAAGTGTTTACATACCTTTATTGATTGCTCTCCATTCAGGTGTGGCCTTGACTGTGTCTAAGTTATCTATATTTATGCCTCATGCTTTGAGATTCTGTCTTTGAAGTATTTACATTTACTGCTCTTCCTGTGCTTTCTGAGTTTCATCGCATGATAGAGGACTTTTTCGGGAATCTAGCCTTACCCATTCTGGTAATAAGATCTGTCCATCTAAGCTGGGCTTTGGTAATCATTGCCTCAATGCTGGTTATTTTTGCTCTTTCAAGAATGTTAATATTTAATATAATAAAATATCCAGGAATGTGAAGGCTATATACTTTAACATTAGATGCATAAACATCAAATGTATAGGCTTCACATTCATAGATTTATAGAATTTAAAGCCAGAAGTGATCATTAGATCATCTTAGTCTGACCTCTGGTATATCACAGGCCATTACATTTAACCCAGCTAGCCCTGTACTGAGTCCAATAACTTTTGGCTAAAGCATAACTTCAAGGCATCCAGTCTTGATCTGAAGACATCAAGAGATGGGGAATACACCAGTCCCTTTGTTCCAATGGTAAATCACCCTCTTTGTTATAAAAATGTGTTCTGTATTTCTAATTTGCAATTATCTGGCACCAGTTTCTAGCCATTGGTTCTTGTTTGCCTTTCTCTGCTAGATTTAAGAGGCTTTTGGTGCCTGGTATTTTGGAAATTTCTGGCCAAGATCTTTCTCCACAAACAGCCGCATTCCTACTCCTTCCTTCCTCAAGGTTCATCTTGAGGAGTTTCCCAAAAACTGTCTCCTCCCATAGCAGGAATTGGGGGAGGGGGCACTGCAGAGAGGAGCATAGCCTTCCTACACCAAAGGGCCTTCCATAGGGAAGGGAGCCTCCAGATGTGCAGAGGCAGCCTGATGGAGGACTGGCCCCTCAATGCTACTCTGCTGCCTCCTTCATCCTCTTCCCTGAGCAGGATGGCTCAGGTGGAAGCCATACCGCCATTGCTGCATGGCTGCGCAGTCGCAGCTGCGTAGAAGATTTAACAGAAGATGATGTTACGTGAAACAGCATCAAGTGCAGATGAAATATCTCACTCTCATATCTGTGAGGCCACTCAGGGATCATGCTCTGGAAAGGCTGTGGTTCCTGACTTCATCTCCTCTTCTTTCCAGCAGTTCTCAAACTTGGAGAGGGAAAGAGGTGGGGTAGGGATAGTCCATTTTGTGGATGTGACACTCTTCCCCGCCCTTCCCCCCACTTTCTCTTCTCCCACAGGGAGTCCCTTCCCTACCTCTACCACCCATTCTGGGTCACCTCTGTTTTTGGAAGTGGAAGAGACAATCTGGACCTTAGTTATAAAAAGCAAGAAAGGCCTCCTCCCCTGCCTTTTCAGAGAGAAGAGGTGGAAGTGTACTTTTTTGACTGTGTGCATATGGGATGGGATACATCAATTTTGTGAGAGATTCTTTGAGAAAGGGGGTTTTCATGACCCAGAATCACACTGTAAATTCCCTTTGGCTTCATCTGTGTTTCCCAGAGACCAATCCCACCCGCCAATAACACAGCTGCCAGTGCAGTGAGTGAGAATTTCACATGTGCATCTGAAGCCAGAGTTTACACCCTTGATGAGTAATATTTATTTCTGGATAACTGATTGACTACGTGAAGCACTTGTAACAACATGAATGATTTGGGAGCTTAATAATGTGACTGCTGGGTGGCATGACTTGGAGGGTTATTGCATTTTTCTGGTGCCTGCTGTCTAATAGAAATGTACAAAAGTGAAGATATTGGTCCTGAAAAACAGCTCTTATTTTTTTCACAAACAAAGTCTTAAAGGGGTTTGCTTTGGAAATGGAGTATGTTTTCTACATGGTGCATTGCATGCCATCCCATTGGCCAAGATACAGTAGTGGAATGTAAAAGTGTCACACTGTACAAGCTTTGCCCTTTGGCCATCAGTCCTAAAACAACTAGATTCTTCTTAGCAATTCACAAGATGGAATACATTCTCCACACCTTCCTCTTTTTTTTAATTTTTAAACAACCTGTCTTCTGTCACTCCTCTCTCCCTGGTGCACATCCCCTGTGTTTTGTCACTTCCTTTCTTGTGCAACTGTGCCCTGTCACCCCCTCCCCATGTGCCTGGGTGTGGTGTTCTGTCATGCCCTCCCCTATGCGCACCATGCCCTGTGTTCCCTCGTTCCTTTCCCCCACGTGCCTGGGCCCTGTGCTATGTCACCCTCTCCCGCATGCCCTTCAAACTTCTTCCCCTGTGCCCTATTCTCTGTCAACTCCTCCCGCATGTACCCCTTATGTCCTCTTGCCCTTCTACCCATGTGCACATGCCCAATATTGTGGGGTGTACTTGAACTAGAAAGATGCTCTCTAAGCACAGTTCAATGGTTCAGTGCAAAACTACTAAAACTCGCTTTGCAGACAGTCCAGGAAATCAAGTGGGGCTTTTCCTCTGTCTCCTTGACATCTGATCAGAATTTTATTCCTATGCTTTAAATGGCCATTTTAGTAGCTTTTACGTACAGATGTGGGGGTTGGTCTGCAGACAGATTCCCAAAGGAAAATTTAATTGACTCAGTGCAGTTTAATAATTTACAAAAATACAGCAACGTGCAAATGGTACATGGTTTATAAGATTCTCATTGGAAAAAAGATACAAGCAGGGCTCTTTTTTCTTCCTAGTTAAACAAGTACGGCAAACGCAGTCAATTATGCAAGCCTACAGACTCCCAAACTCACAAAAGTCCATGACCCATACTGAATTCTGAATATAGCTCTAAAGTGTGCATCCTAGTAACAATATAAATCCACCCTGTCCAAAATGATAAAACTCATCAGTAGTATCCAATCCATATCATTATTTCTTGCCCTCATAGGAGGATGCACTCAATTATCTGATGTCTTGAAATAGTATGAACTAACAGACTCTTGATAAATTTTAACCCTCATCTTTTCCCAGTGTACTGCATGTTCTGATGATTCACGTTGAAGCTATGTATCTAAGAGCAGAAATTAACACAAACACAGATATTTACAGAGATCTTAAATTGAGCCAAAAGATAGATTAACTATTATACGTTCTCCACAGTCAGACTCTTGGCATTATGCAAGTTAGAAAACATCATTTGCCAGGTTTTACATGATCACCAGCAGGTGGTGCTACCAACTTCCACATCTGTTACACTTTTTCACTTCAAGCACTGCAGAAAGTGTTCTTTGTTATCAACATAAACATAGTTATTTCGCAGGAGAGAGAGGCCACAAGAGCTCATTAATTGCTAGGATTACAAATTCTGCACTACATGCCAATAAGTAATGTTCAAACTATAGGCCTAATTCCAATGCAAGTTTTGCCTAAATGGGGAATTCAGGCTATCATACAAATAATGGAGGAAGTTGACAAACTTTTCATCATATACAGTTTTGAAAAAAAAAAAATTGGGTGATTACAGAAATGGATTATCTGCCAGCTGTTAGAAGCTTTAGATTTCTATGGAAAGCCGTATCTCACAGAGAGCACTTAAGTATTCTTCATTATCAGGCTCCAATGCGAGGGCTTTCTCATAACACTCAATTGCTTGAGGCTTCTCCCCATTCAGTTGGTGAATAAGTCCAAGGATACCCAAATTTTTAGCATCTGCAGAGCCTCTCTGAATTCTCCTTTCTATTAATTTCTTCAGAGCCTCTTTACACATGTTTCTTTCATGTGAGTTTTTCTCAATTTTCAGCCCTTTTGTGTAATGATTAATAGCCTCAGCTTCAGACTTTTTGTGATATTCCTGAAATCGTCCATAGCGGTAGTGGAGTTGTTGCTTTTCATCACAGGTGAGTTTCTCCATCTTAAATACTTTTTGAAAGGTGTCTTCTGCTTCTTGATATTGATTTCCTTCTGCATACATGCTTGCTAGGTCAATATAGGCATACATAAACTTTGATTTTTGCTCCACCACCATTTTAAAATGAAAAATGCTCAGCCGAATCAGTTCCTCCATCTGCTCTCTAGGTGGATATTTTGTAGCTTTTTTCATTTTGTATAATTGTGTTCTGTAGCAAAGACCTATCTGATGATGCAGGAAGCCAGAGGTTGGTGTAAATTCCAGTGCCTTTTTCAAAAACCCCAGTGATTTCTCCACTAGTCCTTTTTTTCTGTAAAACTTGGCAGCATATCGCAATAAATAGGGAAGATCTGGGGTTTTTTGCAATGCTTCTTTGATGTACTTTTCTCCTTCTTCGACTTGTTCTGTGTCCTGAAGTTTCAGTGCAAGGAGTGCCATAACAAAAGTGTCGTTTGGATTCAGTCTTACTGCACGCCTTAAAGGTTCCAGTGATGAGTCCTCACCAGAAGAACCTTTTGTAAGAAAATCTTCCAGGCGATATATGGCAATTGCATAGCCAGAATTAAATTCTGGATTGTTGGGTTCCTCTTCCAGAGCCTTTTCAAAGCATTTCTTTGCTCTTTCGTAATACTTTATTCCAAACTTTAATAGTGCCCACCCTTGTTCACAGTAGATCTCAGGCAGTTGAATCTTATAGCGAGATGCACTTGAGAGCTTTTTGCAGCTGCTTTCTACCTTGCCTATGTAGGATTGAGCTTCTTGAAGTTTGTTCATATGGTAATAGACCCAAGCATAGTTCCCCCAGGTAACAAGACTTTTTCTGTCAACCTCATCTGCATGATTTGTTTGAACTTCTTCTTCAGCTTTTTGTAGACTTTCCAGAGCTTCCTCACTGTTGCCTTTCATGTGTTTCACATAGGCTAGCAGATTATAATTACTGATTTTGGATTTTGTGATTAGAAACTCAATCTGATCACAAATTGTTTCCTCTAAGTTATCAAGATCAACATCATCCTTCAGCAAAGTCCATGTAAAATGGCATTCAAGTTGCAGCAAGACAGTTTTTAGCGAATTCTTGGAAATATTGCTAGAGGGGAAAAAAGAAGCATGTTTAAGCCTTTGTGAAGAAGAAGAGATTCAAATTAAAACTTTATTTACCCCAGAGGACAATTATCTATCTTCTATTTTGCTTTTCTGTACCTCTATTTTTAATTTACAATATTGCCAATCTTAACTAGTGAGATAGCAATAATGTCACCTCTACAGATGCTTCAGAGAGAGGGTGCATCACAAGTGGCACTAACAAGAGAACAATACTTTGAGAAACCAAAGATATGGAGCTCATAGGTCTGAAGATTTGAACACCATTGGTTATTCATATTGTCTCTGTTACTCTGATCCCATGTAAACTACAGTAACTCCTCAATTTTCTTATCCATGTTGGATCATTTTTATTCTGTACAATTAAATTATCTTGTATTATGTTACCCTAGTAGAGTGTTCTGTGTAGTTAAAGGACAGAAAGGTGGCATGAGGCCTAAATTGGTTTGCACTTCATTCGGGCTATGTTATACCAGATCTGCACACTTCCACTTATTTGTTTGTCTGGGGATAGGATGTTGTTCAGGCCTGGTCTACACCTAAAACTAAGGTCAGCTTACCTACATCGCTTACGGTGAATTTTTCAACCCCCGAGAGACATAAGTTGATAATGCTAGGTCACCATCAGAAGCAGGAAACCTGCTAAACAACTGGACTATCGTATTAAGATGCTAAAGGAGCACTCAAGGAAGGTAAGGCCATTGCAGAGATACTAAATTAATTCTTTACATCTGTCTTCACCAATGCAGAGGATGTGAGGGAGATTCCCAAACCTGAGCCATTCTTTTTAGGTGACAACTGAGGAACTGTCCCAGACTGAGGTGTCTTTAGAGGAGGTTTTAGAACAAATTAAATTACACAATAATAAATCACCAGGACCAGATGATATTCACCCCAAGAGTTCTGAAGTAACTCAAATGTGAAATTGCAGAACTACTAACTGTGGTTTGTAACCTATCATTTAAATCAGCTTCTGTACCAGATGACTGGAGGATAGCTAATGTGATGCTAATTTTTTTAAAAAGCTCCAGAGGTGATCTCGGCAATTACAGGCCAGTAAGCCTAATCTCCGTATCAGGCAAATTGGTTGAAGAACAGAACAGAATTATCAGACATATAGCTAAACATGATTTATTGGGGGAAAGTCAACGTGGCTTTTGTAAATGGAACTCATGCCACACCAATCTATTAGAATTCATTGAGGGGGTCAATAAACATGTCATCAAGGGTGATCCAGTGGATATAGTGTACTTAGATTTTCAGAAAGTCTTTGACAAGGTCAAGTATCAGGGGGTAGCCGTGTTAGTCTGTATCTACAAAAACAACAAGGAGTCTGGTGGCACCTTAAAGACTAACAGATTTATTTGGGCATAAGCTTTCGTGAGTAAAAACCTCACTTCTTCGGATGCATCACATTGACAAGGTCCATCACCAAAGGCTCTTAAGCAAAGTAAGCTGTAATGGAATAAGAGGGAAGGTCCTCTCATGGATCAGTAACTGGTTGAAAGATAGGAAACAAAAGGTAGAAATAAATGGGCAGTTTTTCAGAATGGAGATAGGTAAATAGTGATGCCCCCAGTGGTCTATACAGGGACCAGTGTTGTTCAACATATTCATAAATGATCTGGAAAAAGGGGTAAACCATAGGCGCCAACTTCTGCTCGTGCTGGTGGGTGCTCAACCCCCCTCTGCCCCCAGCCCTGCCCTGACTTCACCCCTGCCCTGCCCCCTCCCATCCCTGCCTGCCCCCATTCCAAGTCCCTGCCCCAACTCCGCCCCCTCCCTGCCCCTATTCTGATTCCTTCCCCAAATCCCCACCCCGGCCCCACCTTTTCCCTGCCTCCTTCCCTGAGTGCGTTATGTTCCCACTCCTCCCCCCTCCCTCCTGGAGCAGCTGTTCGGCAGCGACAAGCGCTGGGAGGTAGGTGGAGGAACAGGGACCAGGCGCGCTCAGGGAAGGAGGAGGAGGTGGGGCAGGGAGGTGGCGTGGAGGGGAGCTTGGCTGCCAGTGGGTGCAGAGCACTCACTAATTTTTCCCCGTGGGTGCTCCAGTCTATGGGGTAAACAGTGAGGTGGCAAATTTTGCAGATGATACAAAACTACTGAAGATAGTTAAGTCCAAAGCAGACTGCAAAGAGCTACAAAGGGACCTCAGAAAACTGGGTGACTGGGCAACAAAAAGGCAGACGAAATTCAGTGTTGATAAATGCAAAGTAATGCATATTGGAAAACATAATCCCAACTATACATATAAAATGATGGGGTCTAAATTAAGTGTTACCACTCAAGAAAGAGATCTTGGAGTCATTGTGGATAATTCTCTGAAAACATCCACTCAATGTTACCCATGGGGGAAATCTGCATCACTGCACATGCGCAGGATTTCTTTGTTTCCCCGCAGAAAAATGACTTTCTGACAGGGAAGCAAAGAGAAACCACAAGAGCGATCATGCTACCCTCCCCAACAGTATGTTTTGGGTGCCCAGGGCAGCCGGCAGAGAGGTAAATCACTGTGGCGCGGGATTGGGGAAGACACAGCTGGTGGCTCCTACCCTGCGTCAGGCTCAGCTGCACGTTCCGTCTGGACTGGGGAGGACGGGACTTCCTCCTCCCATGCATGGCATCCAGGGCTGGGTCAGACCCACCCCCAGATTTCTCCCCCAGCTGTAGGAAGCTCTGCAAACTCTCCCACTTACCCCATGCTTCCTGCATCCATTGCTCCTCAGCTGCAGCAGGATGGATCACTGTACAGGGAGCTGCTCCCCCATCCGGACCCTTCTGCTGAGCCTCACCCCCCCATCACACACCCAGAACCCCGCCCCCGATAGGCTCCACTCCCTCTGCACCTGGACCACCCTGATGAGCCACCCGCACCGAGATCCCCACCCTACTGAGCCCCAATCAGCTGCACCTGGATCCCAACCGCACTGAGCCCCACTCTCTCAGCATCTGGACCCTCCCCACTGAGCCCCCCACACCAACCCCCCTGCTGAGCTCTATCCCCACCCACACTCAGACCCCTCCACTGAGCCCCAACTACCTTCACCTGGACCCCCCTGCACAGTACCATTACGGTTGCACCCAGAACCTCCCAACAAGCCCCTGTGCATCCAGGTCTCCCCCACACCCAGAAACCCGACTGAACTGCCTGCACCCAGATTACCACACACCGAACCCTCTCAACCCACACCTGGATTCCGCCCATGCTAACCCCCTCCACACTTGGATCCTACCTTGCTGAGCCTGCCTACCAACACCTGGTGCACCTGGCATGGAGGGACAGGGCTCTGGGGTGTTTCTGGGGCAGGCCCGGTCCTTGTGCTGTGTCAGGGTTGGGTGCAGCCTCACCAGTGAATCTGTGTCCCAGGAGGGGTGAGCTGCACAGTAATCACGCACCTCTGTGCAACCAGTGGCCTGTGTTCCCCAATGCTATGCTGGAACCTCCACATTTATTTGACAAAATTTGCAGAATTTTGCAGAATTTTAAAATATTGTGTGCAGAATTTTTAATTTTTTGGCACAGAATGCCCTCAGGAGTATCAATGTGCAGTGGCAGTCACAAAAGCTAACTGAATGTTGGGAATCATTAGGAAAAGGATAGATAAGACAGAAAATATCATATTGCCTCTATATAAATTGATGGTACACCCACATCTTGAATACTTTTTGTGTAGATCAGCTCACCCCATCTCAAAAAAGATAGATTGGAAAAGGTACAGCAAAGGGCAACAAAAATTATTAGGGATTTCGAACAGCTTCCATATTAGGAGAGATTAAAAAGGCTGGGACTTTTCAGCTTGGAAAAGAGACG